TGATACTTTATAAAGATATTTTTTAATAACAATTAGGACCCGTATATTCCTACATGAAAGTGGCAAATGTAAAACAGGGATTTGTGTTCTAATTCTAATCCAGTCGTCAAATGCTTCTCAAATAAACAGAGATACTTAAGTGAAATGTTAAATGAAATTAATATCATAATTATCATAATAATATTTTTGTTCATAAAGCAAAATATCGTAGTATGCATGACGGTACAGTCCTAGCGTATCGCGATTTATCGTGGCTTTACTTCTTTTGCATCGTGACAACACTATAAATTGTGTGTTTCCTCACATTATACGTCAAAAGAATACAAAGTCATATGAATTGACAACAGACAGCGCTGAAAACACTCTTTCATTTTGAATGAAATGTGATGACATAAGAACTCATAAATTGCTATTTTTTTAATACGGATCGGTACCTAATTGCACTTACTTGGTTTCAGTCATTGCCATATGTCCCTGCCAATGAAATTTCTTAACCATACGCCGTGTACAAATTTATCTGGTGCATTTAAACATGTTAGAAGTTATATGGAATACAAATATAATAGGGACTACCCACGCGTTAATTTGTTTGAAGAAAAAAATGAATTACACATTTTGTTTGGCTTTGACTTTACTTGTACGGAATAAACGACTTTGAAATTATTCTATATCGTTAAAACATTTTTTTTTTGGTATTTGAAACTATATTGATATTCATAAGAACGGCTTACCATTGTCAGTTGATGTGAAATCATTGTCATTTTCATATTTTCGAAATGAAATGAAGCATGCATTTTTATTTTATTCTTTTATTCTGATGGACCAGAGGGAATTGTGTTTAGCTGCAGATAGATCTAATTGTTTAACAAGACATGAACTAGATAATTATCATGTTAATGCTTTATAACAAATGTATTTTGTTTTAAGAAAAGTTAACCGACTGTTTAACCTCAAGGTTATCTTAGTTTTTATCCATTTGTTGCTACGCTAAAATGGAATAGTTTTGCTACTGACAAGCGACTGTCGTTTATTAAAAACAAGTATATAGCATCAAACCGACAATGCCGTATTAATTGATGTGGCTACTGGAAATGCGATATGTCGGCTTATACAAATTCGTTATAAAGTTTGCGACGGGATAAAGAGATAAATTGTGTTTTTTTTCTTCTTTTTTTAGAACACTATTAAAAGCGCGCTTATCGAGAGGAATGAGGCGATATAAGATAATTTTACAAAACGTTTGTAAAACGTTATCAAATACATCATGTCGTGCATGTATATTTGTTTCTTTCGCACTTTGGGGTAAAGCGCTTTTTGGTGTGACCAAATGTGCGGTAAACTTTACAACTTTTCGGGATTAAACGCAATTTTGAGTAAATAAGCGAGAAACGAACCACAAAGTGCCTTAAGTAATATTCTAGTACGTAAAACACACGTTGGATTCAAATGTTCTGAAGATGCAAATTGAAAACTGGTTAAATACCAAGTAATGACCTATTTTCGATTTGCAACCTAGAAATATTTAAGTTGACGGTCGATATACCACTACGCAGTCATACTTACTTAGTTCCATTTAAATTGTTGAGTAGCAGTCATTCCGAATACTCTTTGAAACATCTGTTATTTTCAGGAATAAATTAACAACTTTGAATATCACAAAAAGTGAGACTTTATCACTGATAATTTGAATTGTTAAAGTATTCTGAAAATAACAGATATTTTGAAGAGCATTTTGTTGTGTCACCTATTTACTTGATAAGTTTCTGTGCTATATTGAACCCTAAATTGAATATGATGGGGATGTATTAACGTGCAGTAAATATAATTTTTTGCATCTTATTGTCAAACAATATTCAAATTATAGTTAAATGATCCGTAACAAGTTAGTTTTGAGTAACATTTATCATAGTAAAGTTACATGAGGTCTACACCTGTTACCTCTTTTCAAAACTATTTCATATTCGATTTTCTAAATGTGTGGTCCACGTGACATCGCTATGTTACGGCAGTAACGAGGTTTTAAAAAAATACTTTAAAGCGTGCGACTTTTCTGAAACTTGGCGAGTCTAATACAGGTATTAACGATAGATAATTCTGTGTGTTGTGCAAGAAAATATATGTCAAACATATTTATATTTTTTACTTAAATTCCACTATTCTATGAGGCGTATACATGTAAATTGAACATAGAAATTCAATTCTAATTGCAACCCCTAGATACAACAAAATGAATATCCGTCTCATACATTTCCCCATCATTCCTTGTTTTTTTTTTTTTTTAATAAACTGCAAGACATTACTTCAAAATATCTCTAAAATTTATTTGTATTGTTTTGAATTTTATGACCCAAAAGAGCGGTGCGGGCGTTGGTCTGAAGTTCACAATTGCATATGTATCTGTGTTGGCATTCTTGCGTCAACATCTGACCCCAGAGTACGCAACGCAATTTGGGGTCGAATCTCAAAATTTATTTGACTCCAAAAGCGGTGTAACATGGCGGGGCTGGTAATTTTTTTCAAGATGAGTGTTCCGTTTGATATACGTCTAATGATATATGTGCATAATTTCAGATTATTTGCTTTGGTTTGTTTTTTTCTTCAAATTATCGTTATTATTTTAACATCGATAATTCGTGTATGTTCATATATCTAAGTATATAATAATGTTCATTTAACATGCATACGACAGATGTTTAAAAACAGGCCGATGTGTATTTACATAAGATTTCTGATCAAAGTGTCGTAGGGCGAATTGTAAATTGAAATGAGTTATGTGTTTGAATTGATAAATATATTAAATAGATAAATAATTGAATAAATCATGCGTGTTGTTTTTATTTTTTATTCCCCTTATTATTACTATTGTCAAAACAGTCCTATAAACCTTTCCTGTATACCTGTACAGTAGCCGAATTATCTTTTCCAATCTATACTTTTTCTTTCTTCATAACCTATTACATAATAATAAGTCGCTTTCTATCTAACCTGTGACCCGTTTACATTGTACACGAATGCAATGCTTCATTGCATTCGCCATTAATTGTGTATTATACATAGACGTACATTGTAAACTATTTAATAAATATTGTTTATATATCTTTGATATATCTTTTTACTTCACAGGTTAGTGATACATTTTTGTTGTGCATTTCACTCTAGTAATAAGTATAAGTAATTTGTATTAAACTCTGTTCTTAATAAGTATTTTAAAGCTCAACTTTGTAAAAGGAATCGTTCATGTCATCATTTCATATTTTGTATACATGTACTTTGTTATTATATTGATTCATTTGCATTCGCCATTAAATGTGTATTATACATAGACGTACATTGTAAACTAGTTAATAAATATTGTTATATATCTTTGATATATCTTTTTACTTTACAGTTTCCAATCCATTCCAAAGGACCCATGATTGTCCATCAATTATTATAAACGTTGTTTTCGCGGACAGCTTATCAGCTGCGGCAGATAATATAAGCTCTACCGACTGAGTGAACCCGTGACAACTGGCGCCCAACTTATCACTGATAAGAGATGTCGTCCTATCCCGACTTTGGTGGCCAAGGTCATCATGCAAAGCCTTGAAAATATCTTCCTTCAGGTTTTCTGGAAACAGAAACAGAAACTGGCCGATAAATGGGAACATGACCCGTATATCGTCATTAGCCAGCCTAACCATGACATTCCTGTCTACCAAGTGAAGCGTGAAGGGGCAAGGTACAAGAAGACAAGTCTCAACACTCCATCGTAATCTCCTTTTGCCTTTCATGTCAACCACGGATGCCATTTCAACAGATGATGACCCGAACACACCTGCCGAAGATCAGGTTGCAAACAATACTGTAAGGCCGTATGTTATTCCTATGAGACGATCTACAGGCTCGCCAGGACTCCTTCCTTCTTCAAGACCGAAACGCACATCGAGAGCACCTGATAGATATGGCTATTGAACCAGGGCTTCAAGATATGTACAAACATGTATGGTAGTATTGTTTGATTCATATTGTTTGAATGATTTAGTGAGCATGATTATCTAAAGAGTGAATACTTTATGTAAGTGTGATTGTTTAAATCTGTTGTTCTCTATTTTGAATGAATTTTGTTGATTTTTCTTTTTCAGAAACGTTGTAAAACAGAGGCATATCTTGATGGTATTGATAGGAAATGAACATTATATTAGTGCCATTAATTTGCAAATTTTTGAATCATTTCAGATGATCCAGAGAACATCAATTGTATGTGTGTGCCGATGACGTTGTTCACTTGTAATTATCATTAATCATACCTGTTGTTTTTGTTTGTCATTTCAGGACATGTGCTGGTGATTTTGTTAGAACACTATCCTGATCCTACTTCAAGTACAATTATTATACTTACTAGTACCGTTTTGTTTCAGACAAACTCGATAAGGTAGTACTATGTCGTTGATATATTTAAATACTTTCATGTTTCAAAGTCACTTTCATTTCATATGCCATTTCATCTCATCTATCATCATATTTTGATTCCTTTTATATTTAGGTTTATATTTATTATTAGGAAAGAGAATCTCCATTTACCTGTACCCCTTAATGTCTCAAATAAACTTCTTAATAATACAAACCTTAAACACCTTTGTTGATAATTAATTTCATACACTGTTAAAGCAGCACACATCCAGATTCATGCTAATTTTCATGAAATTTTTTAAAATGTATCTGAATGTTTAATAATGTGAAGTAACCAAAAAGAAGCAAATAACACATTTTCAATGACACTTTCAACCCCCGTAAATTACCAAAAATTGTGCCAAAATATGCATAGAAAGCCCTTATTGCGTTAGTAAAGCAGTAAAATTATAGTTGTAAATACTGAAAAAGCAGTAATTAATTGCACAGAACATGTAAAATATTATTTAAATCTTGATTTTTTTTTTACTTTCCTAAACTTTAAGTACAGTCATGTTCTTAAGTTTGATTTTATTGAAATATTTTGACTCATGACATCAAGAGGCATGTAGCTTTAAACCGTAGCTGATAATCAGCCAATCATAACACAGTTGTTGGTCATATGACATGAATCGATAAATTTTCTCTACTTGTAAGGTATTCATTATCGCTTTGGATTTACTAACAGCAGGTAAGGAATTTAAAACATTTTTTAGTTTTATTTTTACCTGAAACCTATACCAACACGTTGAGAAGTATACTTAGAATAAATAATTATTTCTAAGTGTTATAATTTTGTTACTTTGGCTAGATAGCATTGTGGTCGAAAAAAACGAAAACGAAAGTAAAAAAAAAAACAACAACAAAAAACAACAAAAAACTTATACCGTTTTGAATATATTTTGCAAACTAAAAAAAATAAAAGACTGAATTCGTTCTCTTTTCAATGCCTTTCACTATACGAATTTCTCATATGTTATTAATGAATAATTTGTAACGAATGAAACGAATAGTTATAGAGCGGAAGGTGTTTGCAAGGGGTCATGGCCTCCTCTTTCTCCTGTTATTTGGTAACAATTAAAATGTCTCTACTTTTACCAACTATATATTTTTGTAACATATTTATATATAATATAAATATAAAATATATTTAAATAAAAACCATAACTTATGAGATAAAATATTTTACCCAGGACAACACTGAAAAGTAGTGAGATTTAAAACTCTCTCTGGTATTTGCATTGTCCCTTGTTATTTTGGTTATCAATCCTGGCCTTTGTAAAGTACATTTGCTTTTATATTTGTCAAATAATCTAAATGTTTAAGTAAATTGTGTCATCGATTTTTTACTAAATCATAATCTTAATCAAAAGAAGAACAAGGAAGTAAAATCCGAATGGGATAGGTTAAGTGCTCTTAAAGTTACATAAACCTGGTCGTTAATACACATGACATAGTAGCTTTTTGATATGATTAATTAAGTTCAATTTAGAATGTAATGATAATCTGTACAAATGTTGTATTTACAGAGGCAAATATTAAATATGGCATCAACAAATAAAGAATTACCTGAATATGTTGAAACAGACAACGCAAGTCTTCTATATATTAAAGAAATTAAAGAAGAGGAAACGGGCGAGTCATTGAGATACGTTGCTTGCTCAGAGAAAACATATAATGTGTGTTATCCACCTGAAAAGCCTCAAGTACGGTATACATTAAGTTTCAGCAAAAGACAGGATCTAGGTTTCGAGCACTATCAATGTTCTCAAAATAAAAATGACTTAGGTTCTGGGTCAGATTCTGGTGAAGAAGAAAATAGCCCTTACGGCTCACCGGAAGCAATTGCGCCGTCAGGAAGAAAACCAAAGGCAGTGGTATCAATGCGACAAAGACCTGACTATGATTACTATGCGTTTGCAGCATACACTGAACAAAAACGACCTGTAGTTATGGCAAACGAGAATATAAGACAGCAGGATAGTGAACCATATGCAAACGAAGAGACATGCATAAACGGAAACGGTACTCTTGCCTTATCCGGATCCTCTACAGAAACAACAACACCTTTATACAAAAGGAATGGTTATTGTTTGGCGCCCCTGGGCGAAATGACAACACAGTCCAATGATACAAGCAAGATCTACACCAAACGACTTGAACCATTCAACCGTCTTCCTACAAAAGATAAGTTTGAGGATGTTAATATGCGTCTTGCAACCTTCTTCGAACAGGTAGATTGGCCACATACATATCCAACTGCTGAAATGATGGCCAGTGCAGGTTTTATTTTCAAAGGTAAATCGAAATATATTTTGATACATTAATAAGCAATAAATTAAATGCTTGTCTTGAATACCTGGTATATATTCTTAAAGATTAATCGGCATTTATGGTCATGCTTTATGGAGTCTTACAAATACCGAAGATGTTCTTTTATAAAAACATTTTCAGCACACTAAGATTTAAGTTTTTGTAAAAAAGTGCATGATTCACGATCATAATATATATTTTACACGAACTAGAATGTATTTAACGAATGGTAAAAAACTTTCCTAGGTAATATTTATTTGATTTAAGTGTATTCATAAACGATTAATAAACTAAATGCTACACAATAGCATCCATTTTATCTCTGAACCTTGACGTAAGAGGCATGATTGATACATTTAAAAGAACTTTCAGTTAAATTAAAAATCAAAAGTATATCATTTTATGAGGATATGAGGAGAATGTTCATAGTGTTTTCATCATTTCACTAATGTTAGCTAGGCAATGGTGTGTATAAAAGTTGTGTTCAAGAATGCGTTTGTCATAATTTTTTTGTAGTAAGGTCCATCTTATCAGTCTTTTTAATTGTTAGTCCATAAGTCTATATAACAGTTTGCTTGACTTTAAAAGCACTTAATTGGGCAGTAGGAATTTCGACTTCAGATTCACATCACTGTAATATACAGAATATATTATTTTTAATTACTGGCCTTTCTTACATAGAAATGTATTTTCCACCTAGTATGTGACATACTTATGTGATACTTCTGATTTACCTTATTGATATTTTGTTTTTTTAATTTTAAATAAAACAATGAAAGAATCTAAATTTCTTGCAAAGTTAATAAGAAACAAATTTTAAAATGATATTTTTAAAGACAAAGCGGATAATGATGCACAAAGGTAGATAATCGAAATTGATATATCTTCATTTCAAAGAAAAGATTAAAATTCATTACTAAATATTTATTTTAATATCTTTGTGATATATAGGTGTATATACAGTGAACGAGACGACGACAATTTATGACATGGTTGAATGCTACAAGTGTGGAGGGACGCTTTATGGGTTCACAGAAACGGATGATCCCGCTGAAGAACACAGATCGCATTATCCAAATTGTAATTGAAAAAGGTACTAAAATAATTTAAAAATAGGGTTTTTCTATATTCATAGGCCTCGCAAATAAAACGAAACGCAGTTTTAAAAATTAAAAACATCTTGTTTCATTATTTATAGAAATTGACATCATCAAAAATGTGAAGAATAATTAATTTAGCTAGCAGGTAATATAAGTTAATTATGTAAACTAATGTCTTTCTAATATTAATCATGTAAACCTTCTTTTAATTATTTCAGGAAGAAAAAAATGAGCCAAAAAGCACGATTATCATATATGAAATATTAATTACATCAACATCAAATGTATTAGATATATGTTTAAAGGAAAAACATATAAATGTACATGTATAAAAATAAATTATACATCAAAATTATAGGACATTTTGGAAGTTTTATTTAAAAAACCTGCAAAGTCCATATGAATGTATTGATTTAAATTGTATACATTGCATTATTTTTTCAGATAGAATAGCAGCATGCTTGACAAATAAATTGTTGGCGGAAAGGAACATCCAATTTCTAATGCTTACAATATCGGTTATGTAGCTGGGAATGCAGTACGATTATATGCGTATTAAATGAATTAATTTTAACGAAATTAATAACAAAGAACGAATGGCAGTCACTATTGTGATTTTCTTGAATATATAATCACATAATATACGATTAAACAGTCAATAAGTATTGTATCATTGGCTTAATTATCTGCAAGCAGCCATGATTACAGATGTACGATGAAATAATCTAGTTGCAACTAAAAAAATCCAAATACGTGTTGAATCAGATATGGATGAAACATTCGATGTCAATTATCTAAGTAATGTAACTGCTTGAGTGTACATGATTTTTACAAATAGCACATCGATAACACAAACGTTTATTGATCTAAACTGTTGATACGATTAATTATCAATATTGTTATTTTATATGCACTACCTGTAGACTGGTATGATACACTACATAAAGAAATCTATTTGAAATGTATCAGATAGACTTTAGGTCAAATATATTTATATAATTTTATAAGCATTACCAAGTTTCGATTTCCTTTTTTTCAGATTTCCCAAAACCGTTATGTAGCTAATGACATTGTTAAGGCTAATTACTAGCCATTTGCATGTTTATTGTTTATTAAATCATAATCCAAATTCGGCAGTTTGGAACCAGCACTAAAATATATGTATTAATCTAATTATGTAGATGCGACAAACTATATAACTCCACCGCCGAAATTATATTGCACCTGAGTGTATTCTTTTTACATGTCACACCAACCAGTTAACGGTTAAAAATGAAAATGGTTCAACAGTGTAGGTCTCAAATTGTGACCTACGTTTGATTATGGTGTAGATTTATGTTTAAATTAACTATTGAATATTTCATCAATATTTTACCATCATTACTTTTTTGTGTTTGAAAAGAAGAAGAAATAACCAATGTTTATAAACTGCCTACCAAGTTTATTGTGAGGGCTTTTTTTATCGATTTCTTTACAAACAATTGGTTCTATTGATTTAGATAGTTTTTTGTTTAAAAGCTACATAACATGACAAATGCTCTTACCACCAATTGTAAATGGCTGTAAATAAAAAATATATGTGAATATATATGTAGTCCTTAAATCTCCGAAATCTTCTCACAATACATTACGGTATATACAGACATACGTTTTGCAGTGGTTTTCAAATCTGTGTGTGTTTGTCCTCTTTTGTAAACAGTTTTAAAATGTATAGTTTTTTTCAATGTTTATTTTGCAAATAAGTGTATCTTTTAAAATGACCAGTCTGTTTCAAAGCTTTAATGCAAATAAGTATATCTTTTAAAATGTATAGTCTGTTTCAAAGATTTTTTGCGAATAAGAATATCTTTTAAAGTGTATAGTCTGTCCCAAAGCTTTTTATGTATGAGTATGTTTATTATGTATGGAATAGTTAGCAATTGATATCATGTGACTTATGTTCTTGTATATATTGTAAATATGTTCCCTCATGGACCAGTCTGGTCTACTGGCTTTGTGAAATAAAGATACAAAAGATAGAGATATTCCAAGAATAGATTTAGTAGAAATAATGTTATATATAATGTCTTGAAGTATCCTGTAAATAATTCTTTAATTCAATGATATGTGTTTGTATATAAGATTGTTGGCATAAAAAATTAAAATAAATGTTTCCTTTGTTTTGCCATATTTCCAAAATGACTGATACTTGGGTAAGCAGTTTCATAGAGACCCTGCACCAACTGAATATATAGTCTATATTTCCATACACGCACTAGACAGGAGTCTAAAATTTCATAAAAACGTGCTTAAGTGGTGTGTGACGAAAAAGTTATGTTATGCACATCGATATTAGTAAAATGAACGCTATGTACTTAAAAAAAGGATAGTGATCCAGTAAATGTGTACTTAAATATCTAAATTTAAAAAAAAAACGGAAGAAATAGTCAAGTAACACGGACCTGCTCAGAAACATTTGTTCGCTTCAGAGCTCAGATGTTCGATATTGTCGAATAAGCACGAACACGCGTTACAAAATAGACAAAGCTGTTTCTAAAAATCATCAATGACCTCAGATACAAAACATCCTTTATATGCCAATAGTATGATCAAATGCTGTCCAAATTTTGGACCTACAACAAAAATCTTTACACTCTTTATCATGAGATGAAGCATGGTTCAAAAGAATCATACACTTAAGGACTTTTAAAGAGATCCTATCGATACTTAGTATCTATATAAATATTTTCATCTGATCTGTGCTCAAATGAAATTCAAAATGTCACAACACGCTGTCGGCTTGTAGAATTAATGCATACTAAGATTAAGCAAACATTGTCTTTCTTTTTTTCTTTTCTTTTTGTTGTTGTATGAAAACATGTTATTGTGTAATTGTTGAAGTTGTGAAGTAGACGAACCTTTTTTCATTAGAAATTACTTGTTAATTGTTCGTTTTAATTCCTCCGTGTTGAAAAGATTACACTACAATCACAATAACTCCCCATGGAAGTAGGGTGAAATTTCACATTTGAATTATACTTCCGTTTCAAAATACTTATACTTCTACCTTTGAACCACTCTTTTGATCTGCATACGCCTTAAAAGATTATATTGGTGTATGCTTACAAAAAACATTTGTTTCTAAAATGATTTCATTTTTGCTGTTAATGACTAAGCATGAATTGTGTGTATGATTTTATTAAATAATCATATTTTCTAAATCGCATGCTACAACAAACTTTGCCTTTCTTATGAAGATATCGGAATGGGGACATTTATGTATAAAATATCAATTTGCGTTTTACAAATATTTTATCTACTTAACGTTTATATCGCTTTCTATTTTCTATTCAACTACAAATATTTAATTGCGTTAAATAGCAATACAACAATTATACAAAGATTTCATTTCTCTTTTCACACCGATTAAACTCAATGAACACATAAATTTCACTCGACAGCAGACATCCCCTATAGACATTACTTGTTTGTAACAGATGAGTGATATCTAGAATTACGTGTAGGGATGTCTGTCACGTGCCACATCAATAATACTTTTGAACATGTATGGCGTTGTAAATGTTGCATTAATCTATAACCAAAAATGTTGATTTAAAATATATTTGCTTTATGAAATAAATATGTGTTTAAACAATAATTGGGTTCTAAAATATATATGTATGATGGTAAAAGATATTTAAATAGAAAAAAAATATTTTTGTCCACAAAAAAATAAAATGTACTTAAAGTAATTGTATAATTATGATGTAAAATTATTTAAATAGAAACAATATATATTTTGTTCCAACTAAAAATACAAAATACTTAAATAAAGTGTACTCTAAAAATATTTATGAGAAAAAGAATTATTTAAAAAGCGAAGACAAATTTATTCAATAAACAAAAAAGAATGTACTTGATTACATCGTTGAGTAAACGAAGTAATTATGGGCTAAAAACATTTTCCTATGGATACTAACTTGAATTTTAGGATATTTGCAAAACTTATAACAACAGCTTTTATTGGTTAAAGTGTTCAAGAGTTGGCTCCTGTTAATGTATTTCAACAGTGTAACAAGGTAATTAAGAGAGGTAATAAGAACTAATGAAATTATAACAAACTGTAGTACCCGTCGTGAAAATATATCTAATAGTTCATATTTATATATTTCAAATTAGAAAACGATTAGTTTGTACACATAGAGTTTTAAGTGGAAAAATATATTTTTGTCAAAAAAAAAAAAAAAAAATTATACCTCATCGTCATCATTATCATCATCACAATGATCAGGATCACTAAACGAAGATGGTAATGAATCTGTTACTTGGATATTAGTGTGAGATGCTTGTTACCTGATGGACAAAGCGCTAAAAGAAAATGTTTATTCTTCTTCCATTCAAACACTTAATCGTTATATCTGTACTAAGTGCTAAAAAGCAACAAGAAAAAAGATGTATCAGGAAATCGGCAAATGGTTTATATTTGAAACAAAATATAGTAAACACAAACCCTTTTGAGTAGTAAAAACAAATGCATTTCTAAAGCACAAATATATAAGAAATACGCCAACTTATATTTGTTAAAAA